TGTGACACAAATAGATTGATAGTTGAGGCATCAATGACATGAATATAGTATGAATATTGGATGAAAATTGTCAGAGTTCAAAATGGTGCCCGACACAGATCATATGATTGTCCATAGATTTCAATCTGTTAAAACAGATCATACAATAGGTACTGTTCCAACTGCCAATTTAAACACACACTGAATATATTCACCCAATACCAGGGCATATTAATAGCACCTGATTGGTGCACTTGTCAATGTAAAAATGACAATATGAATACAGATCGTTATTCCTGTCCCAACAACTGTTGTGGAGAAAACCCTATAATTGATGGATATGACACATCAATATAAGGAAATATGGAGGTAGCAGGTGATGGGACCAATCTAGGAGACCCCTAAACCAGGAGGAACCCTTATATACATTAGAAGCAGACACCGGACCACCAGGAATGAAGTCCTAGTTGTGGACCCATCATCATTCAGCAGGAATATTGGATATGGTGAGAGTATCTCTAGCTGTCATCAGCTTAATGCTCTGTCGATTGTAATATACCATGTACACATGAGGACTGTTTACTCCACACTCTGTGGCTGATGGTATCTATTTAACCAGAGACTCATCACAGTTTCTCCATTATTCCATCCTAGACTTGCTATGCATTGCGTTAGGGATCTCCCAGATTGGTCCCATTACCTGCAATTTTCATCCATTATTCATGTCATTGATGCCTCAGCTATATTGACAACCATATCTATTTATTATCTATGTCATTATTTATCATTGCTATGATTGCATTCATTCTTAGACTGTGTCCCTTTTTGTCCTATTTTTCTTGATCTCTATCCTGTCCCTTTTCATTACCGATTTCTTCAATTTTCCATCTACATCATTTCCATCCTTTTTTGTAAGTGCATGTCAGGGGAGCCAGGATCCCAGAGCATGGGCTGTCTTCTTGCATGACAACATATCTGTCTATGTGAGGTGGAGGTGTCATACAATTTTTGTTAGTGAATTTTTGATTTTGACTTTGTAATAAAATTTTGCCTTTTGTCTAGCCGCTGTTTGTCCTCATTGGAACTTCTACGCCAGTGGATCTCTTTCCACTGGTTTCTCTTTTTTCTTACTACATATTATACGGTTCGGAGGACACCACTTCTTGAATTGCATTTAGTGAGTCGGCAGCATCACATTTTTGTGTAATATTTGAGGTACCCATTCTGGGTCTCCATTACATTATATTTGAAATTTTTTTGTGAAGCATCCCAGTTTGTTTTTATACAATTTTGCTATACAATTAGGAAGGCTACAGCACTGGGATAATGGGCTTAAGCACCAACAGGAGGGTTCCTTGTGATTTTTAATATATAAGAAAATTTACAGCACTGGGATAGTGGGTTTTTTATTCATATGGGAGTGGAAGAACAATAACCTTTATATCACTTTATAATTTGCAGAGAGACTTGTGCACTTGATGGTGGATTTTGCTTTATTAGAATGTCATTATTTTGGATTATCACAGATTATTTTATAATTTAGCCCCTTCAGTTTGCTTCCCTACAGATTTTCACAACTCTCAGGTGATGGCCTGGCCAGGTTGCCTGTCTTTCTAGCCTGACAAGCCAGAACACAAAACACAAAGTTGCTAGTGTGCCTACACATACGCTGCTCCCGCTTGGCAGCATGCCTCTCCTAGCGAAGGAGGAGCCCTGACCTTTAAAATGTTATACGATTTCAAACAGGCCGAACCAACAGAAAAAAAAAGAAGATTCCTTCATCTACTATACAGCGCAGATGAACAAATGTCCTCCTGTGCCTATTGTATTCTGACATCCATTGCAGCTCTGTAAGCACAGCTAACTGTATATTTTATATCTGCCTCTGCAGTTTAGCTTTACGTAGCGTGCAAGGTTTTTTATTGCCTCATTTGCTAGGATGACTTGAAGTTGAAATAGAACTAAAAGGCAACACTTTTTCTCCCATTTTAAATAGAGTAAGGAAGGTTATAAACCCCTGTAAGGTTTATTCTTGCCATCTGTGTCTCATTGGGGAGATTACCCTCCCTTCCTGTCCCATAGCCAAAACAGGACATGAGAGAGAAGCCCTCTAAGGTGAGAGACTCTCTGGTTGTCACCAGGGTTACCAGAATTAGTGTCCCCATTGGAAGATTTCCCCACTATACCTGTTCTTAGGACATCCTAAAATTTGGGATTTTCATTTACTTTCACTTTCGTTCATAATGATATACAGGACAAATATAGAGAGTAAATCTTCCTAACAGGGGCACAGACCGCAATTAAAACCTGATAGGTATTCTAATCCCTCTCCGCTCTATCCAAAATTAAAAGGTAAAAAAAAAAATGTTTTGCCTTTAGTTGTATTTAAATTCAATACTTTGAATCACTGACCAGAAACAATAAGGCAGAGAGAATGCTGTGCCTTCACACAGATTTCACTGCCTGCCTTCTCATCCTTGAGAATGACTAAGAAAGTAATGAAGCAAAAACAACTGGACAATTGGGAACAGTTCAGCAGTAGTAACTTGTACTATTCAATAGTTTTCCTTCAATGAGGGTAAGGAATGAAACATACATGATGGACCACTAAGATACTCACTTCTGTAAGAACTCTTCCAAGCCACAAATTTTAAGTAAATAGTCAGATACACAGAGATCCTCCAAATGATCAATAGTGTAGCTAAGAGTCTGGTAAATGAGCAGATCTACAGTAGAAGAGCCTAAAAGGAAAAAAAATTATAATTTTGAAATACATTTACTGTAGACATAAGGAATCTGATCAAAGAATTCCTAAAAGGGGTCATTATTTTACTTGTACCATATAATGTCTATTAGGTAAGCAGGCACCTAGAGTTACCTACACATACCTGGATAAAGGTATATTGTGCTCTGACCAGGAAGTGTAAAGCTCTTGCTGTTAAACCTTGCTCCACACATTCCTGACTCCCATCATTCGCTGGTCAATAGAAATGAGGCCACGAAAAAAAAAAAAGACAAGCAAGGTGTGGAATTAGCAGGACCTCATATTAGCATAATAGCAGGCATTAGCAAGTGCCTGAACTTCATAAACTGCAATATTTTGCCCCCTTCTTCCCAGTAAGAGTCTTGTTCAGTCTTGTTTACTGGATTTCAGCATAAATGATTCCTAAATGATCATGATCAGAGTTTGATCAAAGTCATACAAATAAAATTAAAGTCTAATTAAAATGTAATGGTTTAATTGGCAATTAAAGAAAAAGTTCATGAAATTATACAACCAGTAACTGCTAGAACCTGCTTTATTGGCAATTACCTCATTAAATGATTTTGTAGCTGCAGATCAGACCTCTGCCATGGTTAGGATTTTTCTTGGTCCATTCAAATATACAAAAAACTCTTTTTGCCTATGTCATTTGTTTTTCTAAATGGCCTGCTATGGATATTGCCACATCATTTAAATAGAATGGACGGCAGGTTGCTGACTCTTTGAAAACTTGAATAGGCAAATTTTAAGATATTTTGCCAAGTATTTGTTTAATTTTTTTTATTACTTTACTGTCTTCGTATGACTACAGTTCTTTTCAGCTTTAGGTCGCAAGCATATGTCTCAATATTTTACTGAAGAACTCCTTAATTTGAGGGTCCCTTGGTCACTACAATCCATGTAGGACCGGATGCAGAAAAGCTGCCAAACACCATTATATTTCTTTTATCATGTAGCACAAGTGATCTGGACCATAAATGGATTGAAATTCATCCACTTCAGCAGGGACCAGCCAAATTTCAATCCATGTGTAGTCGTGTCTGTTCCACAGAAGTCAATCATTAGATTTACTTTTGTCAAATGATGGCTAGAGGAGTACTTTTTTGTTGGCTGAAAAAAAAAAAGTAATCTATGGCCATCTTAAGGGTGAGGCTTTGGTGTTAGTAAGCAGATTGCGCTTTCTTGAAAATAAAAAAATCTGTATCTACCAAAATGTTTAGCTCTGTTCTAATCTGTTCTCAGAACAGTGTTCCAGTATTTACAGTCAAGTGGTCTTCATAACGTTACATGGTTAGTAAGGCTGTAAGAAAAGAAAAAAAAAAGTCCAACCAAATGAAAAAATGAATCAATCACCCAGATGGAGTGGAACAGATCCCCTTCCTTTTGTTTTTGCCGAATCGGATTGTAGGCAGGCGGGTGAAAATGGACGGTCAGTTTACACTTGCCATTGCATAGAGCTAAATGGAGGGTGTGATGTGATCTGGTCCGTCTGAAAACAGACAGGTGGACTCCATCGGACTGAAAGGGACCTAACTCTAAACCTAGGGTTGATTCAGAGAAAGGCAATTAACACGTATTATACATTGTCCAATTTGCTCTGACGGGGAAAAAATCCTTCCATATCCCAAGGCAAATCGGATAACCTGGATAAATAATTTATTATTACCTATAATCATTAAAAGCCATTTTTAGTGTGTACATTTAGCAACACATACAGCTTATTTTTAACTCTTACTGTGAAGAAACTTTGAATCTCCTACATGCTGATGTTTTTTCTGTTACTAAACTACTTACCTCTTTCGTAAACCATAGCATTTTTTTCTTCTCTTACAAATTTGCCTTAGTCGCCTCCAGGATGGTAGCCTTTAATAGTATTGACTGAATACTGACTCCTGTCGTTTTACTCAAACTTTTTTTTTTTTAACCACTTGCCTACTGGGCACTTATACCCCCTTCCTGCCCAGGCCAATTTCCAGTTTTCAGCGCTGTCGCACTTTGAATGACAATTGCACGGTCATGCAACACTGTACCCATATGAAATTTTTATCATTTTTTTGTGACAGATCGAGCTTTCTTTTGGTGGTATTTAATCACCTCTGGGTTTTTTATTTTTTCTTAAACAAACCAAAAACCACTGAAAATTTTGAAAAAAACCAAGTTTTTTTCTTAGTTTTTGTTATAAAATTTTGTAAATAAGTGATTTTTCTCCTTCACTGATGTGCGCTAATGAGGTTGCAGTGATGGGCACTGATAGGCTGCACTGATGGACACTGATAGGTGGCACTGATGAGGAGGCACTGGTAGGTGGCACTGATGGGCATTGACAGGCATCACTGATGGGCACTGAAAGGCAGCACTGATACATGGCACAGTTAGGCGGTACTGACTGGCACTGTTAGGCGGTACTGACTGGCATTGATAGGCGGCACTGACTGGCACTGATTGGCATTGATAGGTGGCACTGATGGATGACACTGAAAGGCAGCTCAGATGGGCACTGATATGTGGCATTGATGTGCACTGGTATGCACTGATATGTGGCATTGATGTGGCACTGATAGGCGCAAGGCACTGACAAACTTTGACAGGTAGCACTGCTGGGGCTACACTGATCATCATGAGCGGTGAGAATGGGAGGACGTCATATGACTACCTCTCAGAATGAGAAAACCACCTTGCGCCCGTCATTGGACTATATGGCGGGCGGGAGGTGGTTAAGAAATGTACCCATTTCAGAAAAATGAGAAACAGCGGGTGTGGTAACAAGAGGTGCTATCATCCCTTATAAAACATACATGGAAAACCCTCCTTTTGTGGGATTTTTAAGGCACAAACAGAGCACTAAATTTTTAGAAACTTTTACAGAACCATATTTTATTTTACACAAAATATTAAAATTCACATAGATATACAAAATATGGTGGTTATACATTACATATCTGTTAAAATGAATGCACAGGTAGATGAAATGCAAATCATGCAGGCACTGGATGCGTTTCGAGACCACAAACAAACAATCTCTTCTTCAGAGGTGCCTAAATTGAGCATGCTGCCTATAATAGATATATCATTATAATTATACATTGCTGTAGGAACAAAAGTAAACCGTAAGCATTTTTTTTGTTCCTATAAGAGTGATATTGCCCAATTTCATCACTTTGTGCACTATGTCATTATTTATTATTCAATTTTTCTCACTATCATCTAAGTATTCTTATAGAAACCAAATTGAACTTGGAATGTCACCCATCACCCTGGTGGTACCGTGAAGTGGTTATACTTGGAGGCTAGTGGGGCGGCGTTGTTCCCCCTTCTCTTTCCCCTCCTTCCACTCCTCTGGGAGGATTTGGGAGACAGTGGCTACATTTATGCTTTTTGTTTTTAACCACCTCAGTACAGGGCACTTTTACCCACTTCCTGCCCAAACTACTTTTCAGCTTTCAGCGCTCTCACAATTTGAATGATAATTACTTGGTCATGCAACACTGTACCCAAATGAAATGTTTGTCCTTTTTTCACACAAATAGAGCTTTCTTTTGATGGTATTTAATTAGCATTGGGTTTTTTATTTTTTGCGCTGTAATTTATAACAGGCCAAAAAAATTCAGAAAAAAAAAAATGCATATTCGTTTTTTCGTTTTTGTTATAAAATTTTGCAAATAAGTCATTTTCGTCATAAATTTGGGCAAAAATGTATACTGCTACATTGCTTTGGTAAAAATAATCCCAATCGGTGTGTATTATTTGGTCTGTGTGAAAGTTATACAGTCTATAAGCTGTGGTACCAATCACTGAAAATTTAACACACCTGATCAAATCTGAAATACTGATGGCCTATCTCATTTCTTGAGACACTAATGCAGGCCATAGATGGGTCGTTAATCGTCCAATTTTTCGGACGAAAGAAAAATTGGCCGATTTTCGTACCGTTAGTGGATTAGTTAGTCGGCTGTTTTTCGTGTATTTTACACTTTCAGATTATCGGTTATATTGGGAAATTTTGGGAGATTTTCCCGGCAAGGATAGGCAAATCGGACGATCGTTTTAACAATAAAAAATCTGCGCATGAGCTGTGACCTGAAAGGGACAGTAGTTATGGAGTGAACTTTATGATTTAGTCGGACGATTTTTAATTCATTGGTGGCAACCTTGGCCGAACGACCGATTTTTCGTTTATCGTTCGAAAAATTTGCCGATTTTCGACCCGCCTATGGCCTGCATAACAGTGACAGTACCAATACCCCGCAAATTACCTCTTTTTGGAAAGCAGACGTTCCAATGTATTTAGTAAGACACATGGTGAATTTTTTGAACCTGTAATTTTTTCCCTACAATTCTTTGGAAAATTAAGAAAGTAAATAAAATGTGTTTTTTTTTTTTCCACATAACTGTTATATTAACAGGTTATTCCTATCACATGGCATATGCATACTTGCAGCTTCACCCCAAAACACATTCTGCTGCTGCTCCTGAGTATGGGGATACCACATGCGTAAAACTTTTCCACAGCCTGGCCACATACAGAGGCCCAACATCCAAGTAGTACATACAGGCGATCCAGAGACATAAATCACACATTTCATTTTCTGACTACCTATCACAATTTAAGGCCCTGGAGCACCAGGACAATGGAATTACCCACAAAATTACCCCATTTTGGAAAGCAAACACCCCAATGTATATTCTAAGAGGCATAATGAGTCTATTGAACATGTCATTTTTTTCCACCAGTTTTTGGAAAATGTGGAAAGAAAATGAAAAATACTTTATTTTCTTTTTTTTTTTACACAAAGTTGTACATTTATAAGATATTTCTGACACATAGCATGTAAATACCAAAAATTACACCCCAAATATATTCTGCTGCTCCTCCTGAGTATGAGGATACCACATGTGTAAGACTTTTCCACAGCTTGGCCACATCCAGAGGCCCAACATCCAAGTAGCACCTACAGGAGTTCTAGAGGCATAAATTACAAATCTCATTTCCTATCACATTTTTGAAAACCCTGCAGCACCAGGACAATCAAATTACCCACAAAATGACCCCATTTTAGAAAACAAACACCTCAATGTATATTCTATGAAGCATAACGAGCCTTTTCAACATGTAATTTTTTTCCACAAGTTTTCGGCAAACATGGAAAGAAAATGAAAATATATATATATATATTTATTTTTTTTTTTTTACACAAAGTTGTCCATTTATAAAATATTTGTAACACCTAGCATATACATACCAATAATTACACCCCAAAATACATTCTGCTACTCTTCCCAAGTATGGCAATATCACATGGGTAAGACTTTTCCACAGCCTTGCCACATCCAGAGGTCCAACATCCAAGTAACACCTTCAGGCTTCAAACACATAGCATGTACATACCAAGAATTACACCCCAAAAATAAATTCTGCTGAGCAAAGGGTAAACAACAGTGGTGCACCAAAATGAAAATTCTGGTGCCGAAACTGAAAACGAAAATTTAAAATGCACTTGGCTGAAAACTGAAACCAGTTTTTAAAAATGAATATATATTTTTTGGAAAAAAAATACACGTATTTAAAAAAAAAAAAACCCCAAAAAAAAAACCCACAATATATAGCCCAATTTTTTTTTAATATGAAAGAGGTTACGGCGAGTAAATAGATACCCAACATGTCACGCTTTAAAATTGCGCACGCTTGTTGAATGGCGTCAAACTGCAGTACTTATAAATTTCCATGAGTGATGCTTTAAAAATTTCTACAGGTTAGCAGTGTAACCTTACAGAGGAGGTCTAGTGCTAGAATTATTGTTCTTGCTCTGATGTTCGTGGCCATACCTCATGTTAGTCATTTGAACATCATTTACATATGTGGGCATAGCCTTTGTATGCATTCACCACTACGTGCGAGGACGGGAGCACTTTAAACTTTTAATTTTATTATTTAATGTTTTTTCATTTTTTTTGCACTGTCCCTTTAAAAAAAAAATATAATCACTTTTATTCCTATCACAAGGAATACCTGCATCCCTCGTGATAGAAATAATTAGTGACAGGTCCTCTTTATGGAGAGATATGGGGTCAATAAGACCCCGCATCTCTCCTCTACAATGTAAAGCATTAGATCAAAAAAGCATTGGTCTAGTGCTTAAAAAAACCAAACAAAAACAAAACAAAAAAAAAGTCCGGAACCAGAAGTGGCATTGCTCAGATCCTCCAATGGCATAGAGATGAGTGGAGGCCATCTTTCCTTCACTAATCTCTATGCCCAGCGCCGGGATCGTTCGATGGATTCTCAGGTAAGGAAGAGAACTACTGAGCGGCGGCCGGTAGTGGCGAAGGGGCGGGTTTTTTTTTCCAGCACCTGTATAGGTGCTTTTTTCATATCGGTCGATGGGGCGCCTTCGGCCGAAACATTTCATCCTCCGAAATTTCGGTGCACCCCTAGTAAACAAAAAAATTACCTGAGGTTTTACTATTGGAGTTGTCCACAGAGGAGAGCATTGGTCCAGGCACCAAGCCGGGACGTGGTCAGTGCCAACTGCCCAGGCAGCAGGAAGGAATACTGTCCATAGTCACTACAGGCAGCAGGCAGAGATACTGCCAGCACAGCCAAAGCATTGATCCAAGAAGTAGGAAGACATGTGGTCAGCAAGAGCCACATGAGTATTCCAGGCAGACACATGGTTAGCACAGCCAAAATATCAGTCCTGGTAGTAGGCAGGAAAACGGTCCATAGTACAGGTAGAAGGCAGAGGTGTGGTCAGTTCAAGAGGCAAGCAGAGGCATGATGGCAGTAAGTCGGCAGCAGGCAGAAATATCAGACTTAGGGCCTTGGTCAGGTAAGACCTGGGCACAGGGGTAGAGGCTTTGTCCCACGCAATCTCTTCAAAGCCTCCAGACTAACAGACTTTTTCCAGGAACTACAAAACCTGGAAGAAAAACAAAAACTTTTTTTCTCCACTCAGAAAATCTATTCTAGAGCCCCTCACATACATGAGACCCCTGTGCTGCCTTGAACCGAATAGAGTTTCAGGGCATAAAATCAGTTCAAGAGGTAGGCAAAAAGCATTGTCGATTAACAGGCCGAGGTCAATTCACGTGGAAGGCAGAAACGTGGTTGACAGTTCAAGCGGCAGGTAGAGGCATTGTTTATAAACAGTCCAGGTCATGCAGTGAAATAGCAGATAGTGGACACTGGAAAAATATCTGGACTAATAGTGTAGAGATGTGTGATAGATCCGGTAGCACTCTCCAATACAGAGCTCTGGCTGGAAAGGACATTGGGGACAGTAGTATCAGGTGTCACAGCAAATTTGGTAACTGGAACATACACAACATTTTTGGGGGGTTAGCAGCCTGTTTGGGTAAGAGGGAGGATATCAGGGAAATGCCTCTCATGGAGCCTGGTCAATGATTTCGAGCAAATTTGTTCAGGGGCATGGCCATGCAGATAGAGAAGGGCTGTAACAATATCCTCTTGATATTTCTGGTAGGTTAGGGATCTTTGTGTGAACTTAGAAAAGATGACATACGAATTATACAGGGCTAACTGAAACAAGTAGATAGCAACCTTTTCAT